AGATTGCACGAAATTACTAATTTTCAACCAATTTTATTATAAGGCTATGATAATATTTAGCAAATGAAAATTAGAAATGTAATTGATTGTTTGCTAAAAACAGACACATGAATCGTTCGTTATATTTGATCAAGTTTTCATTCACAATGCTATACTCGAAAATATTCTTAATCTAAAACGCTTAAAATATCCACTTTGTCTCTGACACTCTGAGAAGGGATTCAAACTTACGACATTTCGCAATTCGGGCGACTATTCTATCCACCGAACTACCCAGTAGCTAACACGAGTGACGTATTTTTCAATCACATGTTACTTTTTCGCTACTACAGAGCGTTTTTTCGTTAAAGTTCAGACAATCCACCATGGAGTAACTCCTAAGCAGCATTAAGAATATTTTCCTGTATAGCATGAATACAAAATTAATCAAATATAATAATCATGGTAATATAATAATAATGGTATAACAATCAAAACATCTTTATCGAAAGTTTAAATATTTGTAAAAATATTTCTTTCTGCTGCTTGGGTTAGAAGTGTTATAAATACCGATTAAAAGAGTTGACAAAGAATTTGGATAGATAGTAATATGTATACAGTTTTATAGCATCAACAAGTTTCAATAGTATCGATGGTTAACTTAGACTACCTACGCGGTGATAATAAATAAGGGGTTATCCATAAATTACGTCACACGATTTTCATGATTTTTTGGCCCTCCCCCGTCCTAGTCACAGCTGGTCACATGTGTAAGATTCCCCCCTCCTAGTGTGATGTCACATATTTTGCAAGGTTTTTGTAAAGTAATAGTTTAAAATTCGTGTTTTGACACTTAGATTATAATATATTTTGAAATGTGACGTCACGAAATTTAGGACTCTCCCACCCCCTTGTCTCACAACGTCACACTTCTTCGACCCCCTCCCTCCCCCTTAACGTGTGACGTAATTTATGGATGGCCCCTAACTTCGGAATATTATAAATAAAAGAAAAAAACTAATACAAAGAAACTGAAATTTACTAGCCCGCCATGTTGCAGATTTTCACGTTAAACTTCAAATAAGAACAATAGCAAAACCACAAACCACATCAGCGGAGGCCGCGGCTAACGGCGGCATAATTATTTATGCCGCAACACTATTTAAGAAGCCGATAGTATGTTCTTCAAGTTCAGTAGTTTCGCTGTGATATCAGCAACAACCGTGATCGCAAAACTAAACAACTTCAACAGGCAAATAATGGGAAGATTGGATACAATTGACATTCCTAGTTCCGATAGTCAACAATGAGCTATTACTTGTGTCAATGTCATTATGTGTTTTTCCAATTTACGGCTGCATATTCTGCTTCCTCACACACTCATATAATGAACTTTGCTCAAACGACTTCCAAACAGAATATAATTTCGCCTTACACTACATAAATAATCATTATCAGCCGTTACGCCCATTGCTGGGCATAGGCCTCATCCATGGATCTCCACTACGATCGGTCCAGCGCTGCCCGCATCCAGCGGCTACCCGCGACCTTTACTAGATAGAAGATCCACCTGGTGAGGGGCCTTCCTACTAGCGGCGTCCATTACGTATACCACATACATAAATATATTAATCAAATATGTCAATAGCTAGAACATACCCGAAACACCGAAGGAAGGAACAAACCAAGCACATTCGAGACGAAATAGATACGACATCCGGAATAGAACTCTCCGAAATAGCAGTATATTTTTCACATGATCTACTTGTCTATTTATAGTACCATGAGAATTTTCAGGAAGGTAACTAATTAAATGAATGTTCTTATCTCATATGTCAAATTGCTAGCTGTATTCTAGAAGTTTTGTTAGCTCAAAAAGTTATTTGAACTTAACTATCATTGTAGATTCAGTTAAGATCTTACAAATTAGGTCACTAACTTCCAAATTGCTTGATAGGTACTCAAGTCTGCCAACTTCACGGATAATTTTAATTACATTTCGGTACCTACCTCTTGTATTTAGTTTTGCAATCCCATGTCGGGAACGATTACGTAGTAACACTTATAACACTTATAATCGACTTTGGAACTTAGTAATTTAGTTTTAAATCTTCCATCATCCATGTGTTCATATATACTCATCTATATTGACATGATTATAAATAGATAAGATTTGATTGTTTGTTTGTTTGCAACGAATAGGCTCCGAAACTACTGAAACCATTTAAAAAAACTTTCACCTACAGAAAGCTACATAATACGCGGGTGGGATAGGCTTTAATTTTTTGCGGGCGAGGTCGCGGGAAAATAATTAGTTGCATATAAATTTTAATCTTGGAACATGATAAATTATAATTTGGAAATTGTCACTGCTTTTTTTACGTAAATAAAATTAGGAATTGAATTTTAATAAAATATAGAGTATATTGTATAAACATTTAATTCGTAGTTTAACACAAAAACAGACGTCAGAATCGTCAGTATTACATGTCTATATTGCCTATGTTTATTTACGTACTTGTGATGGCAACAGGGGCACAATGCAACTGTTACAACTACTTAACTAGGTTACGTCTGCGAATGCATGCTAATCTCATATTACGGTCATTATAACTGACGAGGAAGTGAAACTAAGGATGTCAAACGCACACTGTAATTAGGAATTCAGAGTTCCTTAAGGCTAAATCATTACATCATAGGAGGTATAAATTGGTGGCTCAAATAGTTGACCCGAAAAACTTCGTAACGTTAAATTGGTACAAGAAAAAGTGTTCCTTTTTTATTATACGCTAAACTTTTCCATATTTTTTCCTCCATAAGAGCTTCCGGGCAGGACTGTATCTACGATTTTATTCCTTCATTTCAGCTAGGGATTTTAAGCATGTCATTTAATTTAATTAGATTTGTGAAGCACGTTTTTATTTAACTATAAATAGGTTTTATTATAATGTTGTTTTTGGCCCCCCCTGGCACTGGCGCCCGGGGCAAGTGCCCCCACTTCGCCCCTCTAGACCCAGGCCTGCTTCCTGGAAAAACTAATGTCGAATGGCTCCGTTCTCGAGACTTGCACTAAGCAACATATTCAGAGATTAATTTCATTTAAGTAACAGGTTATTGTCAACAGTTAGGACATACACTTCGAACTTTTTGTATTCATGTCGTTTTTTATTACGTATTGAACTTCTAGTGCCTACATATGTGTCTCTGTTTCCTGCCTAAGTACCAGGACAAATCAAATGTAAAATATCTCTTTTAATGTGGATTCAAAACCTAATTTAATCGTACATTATTTTCTACGTCCAAAAAATATGGAATCAGCTAGAGTATAATAAATTCATTTTTAGCATTAGCTTACCCTTTTGCGCTATAACAAAAATCTTACCTTTATAACAAAACTATTTGAAATGACCCATGCGTATTTGTTATTATAAGATAGCAATAAAGCGTTTTCTTTTTCATTTTACTAGAAAGTATTTTGTGAATATTATGGAAGTTTAGTTTGAAGCGGTTACGAGACAAAGACAGAAATCAAAGAAAATGTAATCGAGAAACGGTCCAAGCTTGTATTAACAGAGAAGATAAGGAGCTCTCACTTGGTAAAATACAAATTAGATTGAGAGCTAATGCACATAAAGTAGTCTGAAACACCATGCGACAGCCCTAGTGAACCTCTTGGAAGGCCTAATGGTTTCACCTACATAGATGACGTCACAAGGGCCTGGCGAGGCGCATTATGCATCCATTGAAGCCGGATATGTGCACGATGTCTAATAGCTCAGCTGTAACTTTTAGTCGTTGTAAATGTGTAGTAGGTTGAAGTAGAATAAAAACTTTTTGGTGTTGTCGTTATAATACTTATAACACATACACATTTTCTAGGTAATACCAATCTTGGTAATTATTACAATGATTTTCTTGACTGCCGCTTAAGTTTTAAATACAATTAAGCTTAATTTTAGTCTAAATTTGGCATTACGTAAGGTATATCATTTCAACCTTTTTAGTCATATATTAGATAGGTACCAATTTTTATTGATTTCCTATTAGAGTTGAACGAAGACGGCCGGTTTCAATACATAACACCTACCTGAAGAAGAAAAGATATAAAATCCTACATATCTAACATAGGTGTAAGTTTTAACTTTGCGATGATTATGAACTGATTTAAGAGTGTAAAAAGCCAAAACGGCTTATTGCATTTGTAAATACTTCGTCTGTATGTTTCTTTCTTAGGGAGGTACAGGTACCTACTAAGTTTCTAATAACGTTTCCAATTAGGTGTATTTAATTGAATTAAATTGTAATGTGGTTAGTTTTTAATAGTATTGTTGGCCTTTAATAGTATTGTTCTCATGTTCAAATGACATGTTGCATTTGTTATAATGCTAAGATAACTTTTCTTTTCATAAAGCGATTCGTGAATATCTGTGGTCTGCATCCACATATGGTCGGTACACGACAAATAAATTGTGTTATAGCTTATTGGCTATAGAAAGCAAAACTTTACGAACAAAGCATCATAACATAAAGGGGAATGAAACGTACGAAACGAAATGAGAATAATGTGGAGCGCGCGCACAACCAGTCTAGCCCTTCCCCCCCTCCCCGTGCCCTCTCAAACAGCTGACTACGTGAACAACAAAGAACATCAACCCAACCCAACCCATACCCACTAGGTACTAGCCACCGCCACACGCCACAACACAGTGGCGAAGTGTACAATCACTAATATTATTTTTAGCTAAGCTACCTGTGCACGCACTTTTCATCGATTGGAAGTATCTAGACTGATTTATTATAGTACATATAATTTTATGTGTTCTTACTGCCTAAAATATAAAAGCAAACAATGAGATAAGGAAATCAGACCCTTTTTCTGTAGAATGTTAAGTAACAGCCGTTTATGTCCATAACAAATATTTGCGACGCGATTATGGTAAACAGATCTGACATTGAAACTCACACCATAAAGTAATAAATAAATGTGAAAGAGTTACTGACAAAGGGCAATTAATACTTGCCTTTCTGTTCATCCAATACGCGAGGGCCTTCGAGATGTGGCACTACAGGGAACAGTCTCTCCGAATAACAACAGATTTGTTTATTTTGATAATTTATCACAGTTATATCGCTTTATAGGACGCGGCCGTCACTTTGTGTCGTAGTTTCTCACTGAACCGTTGCTATGGTGTCGTGAACGATCAAACTGCGGCGTGCAATCCTATAACAACTATTTATGATGTTTTGTACTACAGGGCGATATCTCTGTTTATTGTTTTGGGATTTATATGTTATTTACAACACTAAAATTGGCCTGCAAACCTGATAATCGTTGCACTGCCTGCGCACTCTATTTGCTGCGCTTCTGCGTCAACAAAACAGACGTGACACGCACGGCTCGGAAACACTCGCAGACCGTTCGTTCTATTTTGTGATCTCTGTCGTGTGCTTTTGAAAATGCCATTCACATCTCGCTCACTTGTTTGACGTTTTATCTTGGGTTGCCTATGTAAAATTGGAAATGTGTTCTAATAAGAAAAGAATATTCTTTTTATAAAAAGGTAGTTTCATTGCTATATATGATCTGGCATAAGCAATGGAAAGAAGTAAATTATAAAAACTTGATATATGAATGAATATCAAACGCCTGTTTTTTTTTAACTAGCAATTTTAATAAAAAAGGCAATATAGGCGCTTTGTCATTTTCTATACATTTTTCCATTTACCTACATTTTGAAAATTACTCTTCTAAAGTTGAAAGCATGTATATCTTTCAGAGCTCGGTTAATTCTTAAAAACCGTGATTTTTATTATACCTACATACTGTAATTTTGTAAATACCCTTTGCCCAGTCTATTGCCTTACTTTATCCAAGGTTTTACTCTTGCCTCTAGGCAGATCTTCTAACACTGATATTAATATTAAGAGAATATTGAATGGTGGTAACTATTCTTGGAACCAGTGAATAATGGCATAATTATATTGGATAAATATATGCCAGTATGACTTAATGTCCACTTATTCATAATTTGATCAAGTAACTAATGCTTTTTTGAGACTTACGTAACTTTTATTCATATGTATTATACCTCATACAGCCCTATCGCGTTCAATTGACAGAGATCTAATAACTAAATAAAACTGAAAATAAAAGATATACACCTAACGTTTATTTATCATTATCACAAATTACAAATATTTCTTACTTCCAGAAGATTTGATGTGAGCAACTTGTGGAATATTCATAAATCTATTTGTTATTTGTTTTGATATTATCAAATTCATCAGTCATCCCAAAAGTTATTCACATCAAATATATCTGAATATTTTTTTTGAATTAATTGTGGTTATGTATTTTTCTGCCAAAACTTGGCGGTGGTGCGAGGAGTTTTCCCTTTGCCAGAATTCTTCTTCGGTGCAGAGTGTGTTTCAGCCCCTCCACCAGAAGCAGAGTCTTCATTCTCCAGTTGAGTTTTTAATGTCTTCTTTATGTAAACTATCTGTTAAATTAAAAAAAAACATGTTTAGATTGTTTTACATCATTTCATTCTTGATTCAGGTAATCATTCATTCTGGACATTTAGTTACTGACCTTCTTATAAATTCATAATTTGACTATGACACAACACAACCATAGGAAATAAATTTCTCAATTCAATTACAGCTTTTTTAAACATTTCTTTTTTTTTGTTTTGTATGAAACTAGTTTATAGATAGTGATTTTGGGTATATGCACCCTCTAACAACCTACACACAAACTTCATTCTTTTTACAAAGTACATTTTACACAAATCTACATTCAAATGCTGATAATTCAACTGTATTAAAAATTACAAGTATTACATATTATTTAGTTCATATACAAGAACATTTTATTACATAATATAATTGAAATGGTTGTATTATACCTATACAGTTTTAACGGAATTTGCAATATAACCTTGCATTTGACATATCAAGGCCAAGAATAGTTTTCCCCAAATAACAGTGAAGATAAAGCAGTACCTACTTCTTGAACTTGTGCACATGACACTATTGAAGTTGCTAATAAGTAACTTTTTGTGATATCTGCTCTAGCAGACTATAGGAATACTACAAAAAATTATCCCATTTAAGTGATATCAAAATAGTGTAAAAATCTGGTTGTGACAGAATAGAGTAAAATATGTAAAAAAATACACAAACCTCTTGCTCTATGCCTTGTTGATGTCTTATAGCTTTCTGCTTAACGTGATTGGCTCGTTGTATGTGCCTGTCGACGGAGCTCAACACCTGTTCACATGCATTGCACCAATCAGCAAGAACATCTGCAATAGATGATGCATCTTCGAGGCGTGCATCACGACCTAGTGCTACGTCTACTTCTACCCTCTTGCATTCTTGGTCAAGTTTACCATGAATTATATCTGAAATAGTTATAAAACAATTGACTTAATTATTTTGATACTGTTATATGAGCACTACAGTTTGCTGAAACATAAATTTTTGAAAATAGAATTATGTATTGCCATTTAACACAATTATATTAATTTATTAGTCAATCCAAATTATATAAAACACTTTTTTGGAGTACTGATTATTGTGAAATGGAAAAAAAAAAGTATATACAGTACCTGCATAAATAGCTTCTATGATCAGATCTTCTAAATCTCTCACATTCTTTATGTCCAATTCTTTAAGTAGCACACTATAGGGAATACATTTCTCTTGAGTAGCGAGTGTTGCAATTGTAAGGTGTTGTAACTTCTTACATTGCACAGGAGTGAGTTCTAAGTACTCTGATTTGTTCTCCAAATATTCTTTATATGTCCCATAGGCGAATAGATTGAGTGTTTTGAAGTGTGTTGCATATGGTCCAGTTTCTAACTAAAAAATGGATGCAATGTATGTATTAATATACCAACAAAGTAAAACATAAATATAGAGGAATGTATTAATTAAAAATCGATATTACATTAATACATAAATAAAATAGAAACAGGTTTCTTATTATTCTAACCTCTTTAATGTTTGGGATTTCTAAAAGTTCACCAAATACATGCACTCCTGGTGCTTCTAGGACTTGCTTGATGAGTTCTGCACACGCAAAACCTTTAGCACCTTTTGCTAACAGTACAAATTGTTCTAGCGGGTGATTTGTTGAAAATGACAACAAAGATGAAGGTTCATCTTTGTCCATTGAAATTGGATTCATGATGATTGGATAATCTTATATAAAACTATTTCTTTTTAAACTATATATTGAGCATAAATATAAAATACTTTTCTTTGCTGATAAAGTCTAATAGACAGTGACGAAAATCCAATTCGCATCGCAATATCGCTAATTTCACAATTGTCACTGTCACTGTCAATACCACAGACTCAGTAGGTATGTCAATACCATCTATGTCTCTATGGTCTTGTAAATGTCTTGTTTGATTGATCCATAGAAAAAAATATTTATCTATGTCTTACTTCATTTTCGATAAAGGGGTTTTATACAATCATGTCCAATGAGGAAATATTTAAAAAAAAAAGCACTAAAAAGTACTTTCACTAGATGACGACCTTTACAAAAGTTGAGTTTTGCAGGAAACGAATGGACCAAAGACAGTAATTTCCGTTCCTGTTAACAATCATATTAAAAAACTGAAATTTGAACTTAGGTATCAACACAAATACGAAAAAGTACAATGAGTTGTTTATTGAGTTTGGAAAACTGATTTACTGTTAAAGATAAAAGAAAATCGGAAGGGTTGTCATGGAGAAATCAAGAATGTACCGTAGCGACTTCTAATTTGATTTCGGGAACTAATTTTTTTTAATACTTCCTCATACAGTCTGGTCTTTATTATTCAAACGTAGCATTTATGCTACATTTGGGTTTTTAAAGTAAGGAAAATACATATAAAATGACTGAGAAGTTTATTTGGCCTGTCTATGGCCCAAGCACCATATTATTCGTTTTATTGTTATTATACCTACAAATTTATGTTATACGCCAAATAACATCACTTGCTTCTCATAAGGCTACACACGCTACCGTCTATATAACTTAAACTCTGGACCATATTCTATTTTTACTAGTAAATCTGTACCTAATCATAAAATACAAATTGTTCTTTCTAACTTATGTTGTTCTTTACCATTTTTGTTTTAGTCTTATTATTCTCCAGTCTACAAACTCATTTTGATTTATAAAGTGGCTATATAATTATTTGATCACGCCGTCCATAATGTCTGTTAGACAATAAACTTTATTAGATTACTAATAAAGTTTATTTCTTAGAATCTGCAGACAAAATATGTTTCATCATCATTTCAGCCGAGAGACGCCCACTACTGGGCATAGACCTCCCCAAAAATCTCCAATGTGATCGGTCCTGCGCCTCCCCCATCCAGCGGCTTTCCGCTGTTGACGGTTATGGGTGGAGGATACTGAATCACAGAAACCAACCTTCAGCATATATTTCTTTATTTAGCATTTAGACCCCACATCGTTTAACTCAACACACACCGCACACGAAGAAAAGCCATCTTGATCTATTTTACTCCTCTATGGTTACATCCTTCTATTGATGTGACATTGTTATTCCAATACCCGCGACCTTATATGTTTAGCTTTTGTCGCGATGATTCTATTCTTAATCGATTCTACATATCGAGATGATAACATATCCCTCTGTCATGTCGCACAGGGGAAAAAATTATGATGAACATAAAGATGTTATGTATATAGGTATCTGCTTTGTTAATTCATTGCTTTTCGTCGAATCATTATACTTAACTTCAACAACGACAAAACACGTTATGATTTGCTTCGGTTATACTGAATTTACATTGCCACGAATCTAGCGCCTGTGTTCAGATTAAATCCATAGAATCCCATCCCATCACATCGCAGATTATAACGCAATCCACGATAGCAATGAAATGAGATAATATATTGTAGAAATCAAGTTAATATATTAATGAACCAATATGAATTCACCTTATAAAAGACGAGATTATAATTGAAGGGTAAAACTTAAAGGAGGTAGAATTTCTTACCCAGTCAATTCTCGAGGCAGCTCCTTAGCCTTACAAGGTCAAGGCTCATCCACATATCGGGCGACTTGACCACTACTCAACTGGAAGCCGGTCATCGAGAGTCGGGACGCTCTCATCTAGAATTTTATGGCCGATCGAATAACACACGGTCGAAGTGAGTTCCCTGATTTAACACAGAATTTATACAATATACACTAAAGGCATGTCAAATGAAATACATAGGTAACTTCACAATTTTTCATTACAGATTATATTTTAGTTATGCCAACAATCCCCTCCCTGAGGGCGAGCCTTACCAAATTATCAATCATCCGGTTTCCCCTCCCCGAGGGCGAGCCTTATCAAATTATCAATCATTAAGTCTCCTCTCCCCGAGAGCGAGCCTTACCAAAGTATCAGTCATGTAGTCTCCTCTCCCCGAGAGTGAGCCTTACTAAAGTATTAATCATGTAGTCTCCTCTCCTCGAGAGCGAGCCTTACCAAGGTATCAATCATGTAGTCTCCTCTCCTCGAGAGCGAGCCTTACCAAAGTATCAATCATGTAGTCTCCTCTCCCCGAGATCGAGCCTTACCAAGGTATCAATCATGTAGTCTCCTCTCTCCGAGAGCGAGCCTTACCAAAGTATCAATCATGTAGTCTCCTCTCCCCGAGAGCGAGCCTTACCAAGGTATCAGTCATGTAGTCTCCTCTCCCCGAGAGCGAGTCTTACCAAGGTATCAATCATGAAGTCTCCTCTCGCCGAGAGCGAGCCTTACCAAAGTATCAGTCATCAAGCCGCCCACTAGCCACATGTCCTCAACCAGTCTGACTTCTCCGAAGTCGCAGCTCATATCATAACCAACTATGATCATGTGAACCATACTAATTTGCCAACCCGTCAACTAGCCGCGTTCCTCGGCCAGTCTTCCTTTCCAGAAGTAGTAGAAATCACTTTTATACTCATTACTCACTTATAACAAAACTATAATAGGGATCCCACTTACCAGACCGCAGTTTTCTATTGTATTTGTTGACTCCGAAGCGTCGTAGAAAAAATGGCGCGGTAAGATTCTAACAACTTATACCTACCTAATCAAACTTTTATGTTGGTAATCACAGACCAAGAAGAAGATATGTTGGTAATGTAAACAATGACAGTCATATAAGATTCTAATTGGCCAATTTTACTTAGGTAACTCAGAACCTTTGATAAGACTTATTCAGAGCTCAGAACTCACGGTTATTTGGTGCATTCAAATCTTTTACCCACGTTAGTTACCATTAGCAAAAATTAAACATAATGTTGCCTAGTTGGTTCAACCGAATTATCCTAGTAATACTAATGTTGATATGTTGCTAGTTTGATATTATATTCAATATGTAAATTTTACCTGTTTTTGTCGCGATTCATAGCGACTGCTTTAGCATAATAACGTAAAGAAAATTGAACCTTTTTTGGGAATTTTAGTGTGCAAGAAAACGCCCTGTAATTGGTTGTCTTTGCAACCAAAAACAGGTTCTGTTTACCGGCATGGGAATGCCAAAACAATGTTATTAAAGATACGCAAAATTTGTATTATACATACAATTTGTAGCTCATTTTTATAAATAAAACTAGAGCAGATACAAATACAAAACAAAATTTAAATTAAATTTCTTTTCTGTAATACTATTCGTTTACTTCGTAAATATGTAGTTGATAAATAGGTTATGTCGCCTTGATATAATTGTCGGCATGGGACATCATAAATACCAGCCTGATCAGCGCCATTCATTACACAGAGCAGCGTTTTTTGAGCGATTTTGGCTATTTAAATTTTAACAATTATTATCATCGAAAATAGAACAGATTCTCATGAACAGGGTCTTGGTCAACGTGTTCGTCAAAAACTAATAATATTTTTATGCATTTTATATTTTCTAGACAACTTTGCTAATAGTTTTTTCCCAAATTACAGATAACCGTCCGAATGCATGTTCATTACTTCGATAAAAAGGCTGCTGTCTAAGCTCAGCAGACGCTAGGGCTTACTATAAGCCTTATTATAATACTCAAGGATAAATATAACAGTTCGTACTGAAACCGCTCTTAACCGACCACAAAGGTTGAAAACGAAAGAAGCCTGATTAATACACAGTCTGAGTGTGACAACTAAGGTGGTAACGAATACTGAATCTCTTTTGTTGACAGTTTGTTTATTTGAAGAAGTCAATGGCAGCAAAATAAATTAAGTCCTTCTAACCTAGGAACAAGTAGCTTTTTTATAAACACCCTACCTTACCTACTCTTTGATAAACACCATAAACAATAAAATGGCGCTCGGTTTTTTGTGTGTGCGATAAAATTATTGTTTTCGCTAATGCGATGAATGTTGTGAAATTATGATGATCTATGAAGTTGTATAACACCAAATTACGATATGAATCGTATTAATATGATTTATAGAACTTTCAGTGAAGAAATCTGGATTACGTGTTTGTCAATGTCGTTCATCATACATAGCGTCGTTGTCTAATGCCGCCTTTTAGATTGTACAGATCAAAACCATTTAACTAACTTTTAGCGTTCAGACTGAACTCTGTTAGCAAATAACAGCGCTCTAGTGCATAAAGTTTTCGTCAAAAGTTAAGAGTAGTCGGCGATTTGATTGACGGGTGCGTTGTGTCGTGCGTTAGTGGTTGTGAAAGCGTACATACATGATCACTATGTTAATACTGTCACGAGAACTGTTTACTATCAAATAGTGAATTTGTGTTAGTGAGTTTGTTTTTATTTTCATGTAATATAAAATTTGAACAGTGACAATGTGTATGCCAACTCCCAATAATGTTTCGGGCTTTGGTTATTCATGGGGCTTCACGAGTAACGCGGATCTCACTAAATGCGAGGTGGAAACACCAAGCAGTTTGAGTTACACTTTGGGAAACACGGTAAATATCATAATTATAAATAATAGCAAAATAAAAAAAAAGCATTTTTCTATTATTATTTTACACTTGAGCATGTAGATATTGGAAAAACAGAATGCCTATGCAAGAGTATATCAAAACCTTAATATTAAAGAATTTTTACACATTTTTGTCTATGCAATTAGTCTATATTGAGAACATTCTGATTGAATTGTATATTTCAGGTGTCACCGGAGACAACATTGACTGTAATGTCACATAAGACACCCCAAGTGCAAGAAAAAGTTGGTACAGTTGTTGCGGTGTCTAACACTGCTGCTCAAGTTACCAGGGTGGTGACCGCCGGTAATCCTACTACAAGACGAGCTATGTTTGTATTGAATGAAACCCCTACTCATACTATCAACAGAGTCTCACAGCAGAA